GTTCTGTTTTATTCATGATAGTCAGAAACTGGAAACAACTTAGATGTCTTTCAACAGAATGACAGATTTAAAAAAATGTGCTACATTTACACAATGGAGTAAGATTATTTAGTCATTGGAAAAAATGAAAGTCATTAAATTTACAGGTAAATGAAACCAGGAAAAAGTCATCTTGAACCCAAGAGAAGATACCCCGGAACCTAGGATAAAACCAAATGCTACTGCTCTACTAAAAGAACGTAGCAACGAGATAACTCAATCATATTCTGCTGTACTCATAGAGCAGTGCCTTGCTCAGTCAACATCAGAGCAGCTTCCTCCTGCAGCAGATGAGAATACAGAGACCCACAGCCAGGCAAGCAGAAAGGTGACAGGTCTTGGAACACTGAGTCCTAAACCCATTGTCTCTACCAAATCCCTTCTCTTAGGGCTCAGGGAACCTTACAGAAGAGGAACTGGAAAGAGTGTAAGAATCAGTGGGGATAGAGGTCACCAAGGAAACGATGCCTGGAAACCAACATGATCAGAGCTCATATGGACTCAGAGAGACTAGGGCTGCATGCACGGGGCCTGCAGGAGTCTGCTCCAGATGGGCCCTCGAGCTGAAAGAAGAGGACATATGCCCCCATCCCTAACACAGAAGTTGTCTCCAATTGATAACCACTTGCAAATGAAAAGCTAGTTTTCTCCAAGGGAGTCTCCCTGGGAAGCAAACTACTCTTAAGGGAGTCTGCACGCCCAGCAGTAGATGGTAGATGGGCAAGAGAACATGAGCTCAATGGCAGCTTTGGAAATTTGTTTAGTGATGTCGTGCCAGGGATTTTCATTTTTTAAACAAATATCTTATTTTTAATTTTAAGTATGTTCTATGCATGTTTTATTCTCTTTTTACCCCACTGGTCCTTTGAATGAATGTATATTATGGCTTCCAGTTCAGTGTTTTTATAGTATTTCTGGATGCAGGAATGGGTGGGTTACTGTGTTGACATGTTTTAGGAGCCTTTTTTGGACTCTTTTCCTTCTGTTTGTTCTGTCATATTCTGATATATTTATTTTTCTTTTATCTTATCTTCCATTTTATTATTTTGTCTTAAAACCTGTTTGCTAATGAGAGACAGAGACGGAGTAGATCCAGATGGGAGGGATGGTAGCAAGAAAATGGGGGGAGTAGTGGGCGGGGAAAATGTCAGCAGGATGTGAGAAAAAAAATCTATTTTCAATAAAGGCGAAAAAAAATCAATATTCAACTAGTAGAGGCTCGTGCACCTGCCACAGGTGAGAAAGAGACCACAGGGGTTGTTTACTTGAGTGGAGCATGGGTACACCTGAGAGGGCGTGACCCCGACAGCTTCCGCCACCTTTGCACAAGCCACCTTTCTGTGGCTTCTCTATTTGGTAAAAGAGACCATTGGTTTCCCTGTGAGTTTTGGGACATAACTCAGTGAAGACCTGCCCTTTGATGGTACCACTATTAAAACACAAAAACAAAATCAAAAAATAAACCAACAAAACAACCAAAATCCCCAAACCAAAAACTTCTTACTTGATGAAAATTTAGTGGGAATTTTAGTCATATCTTCCAGGAGTCCCTAGGCTGTTTAAAAATGCCTACCTGAGACAATTAGCACCCCTCGTTTCATGACTGTTGGGGGGGTTTAACAAGTTCTCTGTCATACCAGGTACACAAACAGTTTGAGAGAACAACTCCAGGTCAGCCTTGAGCTGCACCCCTCGGTCTAAGTCTCAGGAGTGAACACCCATTTACATGGTTACCGTGAGTCCCAGCGGCTCGCACTCATGCCCACACATGCAGTCCCTATGACAGGAGCACTGGTGCCCCCCTGAGCTTTCTAAATATTCGGTTTGCCTTAATTTATTCACATTATCTTGCTGCCACTGCTGCTGGCCTTTGCTGAGTTACTCTTCTGTCCGGCTAGGTCTTTGCCTCTTTCTCTGGGCTTCGAACTGCTGCGTAAGTCTGGTGTGATCCATTTTCTTTTGGATACATTCTCTGGTCACTGAGGTGGCTGATCCTCACCTCTCAGTGCAGCTGACCCCAAGTAATGTCCTCGCTGGAGTGGCTCATATCCTGAAGAGGCGGGCCCAGGACGCTTCCTGCTTTCTCAGCAAGGAGGTGGACACAGAGGCAAGACTGATGGCCACACAGTGTAATGCTCTGCAGGCCCTATTTCTTTCAATATGTCCTGGAGCATTGCACTAGACTAACTTCTCCATCGTGTTTCCAATTAGAATACTGTTCTCAACCAAACATTAGTCTGTGATAATTTTAAATTGCCATGCATGATTCACCGTGATTTAATATTCACAAAATTCCTGCCATCTTCATATTCTCTGGAATGGGAGGTTGATTGGGAGTCATTTCGTGAGTGGAGGAGAGCAATTTAAAATTGTTAGCACATTTCACATATCTTAGCACTTGGTTTGGAATGGTTTGGTGCCTGCTTAATATAGAAGAATCTGAGATTGCTGGACAATGAAATTTCAATCAAGGTCTCTGTATCTGAGAGGCAATTTCTAATGAGCAGGCAGTCAGTTTTGGGGAACTCTCTACACCCACTTTTTGCCTTGTCTGATCATTTTGTGCACATTTTTAGCCAACATTTCTTTTTTAACTTTTAAGATTATAATACAGTTACAACATTTTTTTCTTCCCTTTCCTTCCTCCAAACCCCTCCACACAGCCTTCCCTACTTTCCTTTAAGTTCATGGCATCTTTTTTTCCTATTTGTTATTGCATGCATATGTATACATGTATACACACATATGTATTCCTAAATATAACCCATGCAGACCATGAATGTAATTTGTGCATACTTGTTTCGGGGCTGACTGGCACAGGGTGACCAACTGGTGACCTCTTCTACCCTGGAGAAGATCACTTCCCCCAATCTTAGCTTTCCTCAGTTTCTAGTCAGCCTTTAACTAGGCTTTGGGCTGCAACAAACTACTGGGATCTCGTTTCTGTATTTCATACTTTAGTTCTTTCTTTTTATTTCTTCGAGAAACAGAAAAGGTTGAAATTACTGGGCGCGAGCAAGACCAGATCACGAAATATACAATGAAACTCACTTTAAGAGTTTATTAAGAGAGAGAAAGACATGGCCAGGTCTCAGGAAGTTGGTGCAGGGAGAGAGCATAGAGCAGGCACGCCCAGCTTTTAAAGGCTACCTAGAGCTTGCCCATAGGCTCTTACGCATGCGCACAAGGGCTTACTTATCTGCGTCTGCGCACAGATGACATGACTATGATGCCTGTAGGTCACATAGGGCTTGAGGACCCTGAGTGGCTATGTAAATTGCCTAAGTGCTTGTTGGTGCATGCATGGCCCTGGAACCTGGAAGTGCCAGCCAAAAGCTTTGGGTGTTGGAAACCATAACAAAGGTCACCACTGCTTACTCTAAACTTCCGAATAATTATCTATTTTCCCGAAAACCGGGGCTTTCATATTAAGTCATGTTGAACATCAAAAATATGTTTATAGAACACCAAGGAATAAATACTTGGCTATGCATGGGGTTTGCCTGTCTTACACTAGGAGATACTGTAATTTCAGCTTAAATATATTTTCCCCATCAATTTTAAAATGTAGACCTAGACTGTGTTATGTCCAGATCTGTGAAGTCTCCCAAAATCCAACAAGGAGACCGAGTCCCGTATGTAAAAGCAAAGAGTCTTTATTCTACACAAGTTTGCAAACCGGTCTCTCCCCATGTATTGGAATGATCGGAGAGCTCAGTTAGAGTTGGGTTTTTATAGTAGTAAAGGTGGGGGTGAGGGATTTCTAAGGTTCAGGACCCCTGATTGGCTGACATTTGTCTAGGGGCGTCCTGGCAGGTGTTTTTTTTTTTTAAGATTTATTTATTTATTATGTATACAGCGTTCTGCTTGCATGAACACATGCATACCAGGAAAGGGCACCAAATCTCACTATTGATGGTTGTGAGCCACCATGTGGGTGCTGGGAATTGAACTCAGGACCTCTGGAAGAGCAGCCAGTGCTCTTAACCTCTGAGTCATCTCTCCAGCCCTGGCAGGTGATTCTATCTAAAGCGGTTGGAACATTAGGCATTTCCTTTGGATGGTCTGTTCCTGGGTGGTGCCTGGGCAGTCTCAGTTTATGGTCCTTCCTACAACCAGGTATTGCTTCAGGGTAAACTACTGAAACTCAGGCCTCCATTAAACTTAACGATGGCTGAGTCCTACTTTGGCGGGTGATAATGGTTGGAAGTAAAGAAGGTTCTTTGGGTGGTCTGTTCATATTTAGCTTATCATGGCTGGCTCCTACATATTGTAAGGAGGACAGATTTCCATGTACCCAAATACTGAGAGTGTGAAAAGGAAAAAGAGAAATATACCACCCTTTGATGCTGGAATGCAGGGCCTTAGAGATAAACAATTCAGGCCCCTTGCTGTAAGGGAGGGGAAGGGAGCCTTTTGTCCTGTGACGGGATGTGAGTCAGGATGTTTACAGTCCACCATCAGGTCTCCAGCTAGGAAGGCAGGAAGAGATAAGAAAAACAGGTAGCACAACCCCCTCCTTGGTATCCAGGTGGGTCTGGACAACCCCCTCCTTGGTATTTAGATGAAAGGTCAAGAATGTGCCACTCAGCTTAGCCTTATTTAAACTGACCAATGAAATGAGTCCCCATAACCACGCTTTTTTGCTTCTGTACCCGCGCTTTTGCTCTCCTATAAGAACCCCTCACCCCCAACCTGGGGGCGCGCAAATCTTCCGAGAGACCTTGCCGCCCCAGGTACCTGTGTATTCAAATAAACCTCTTGCAGTTTGCATCCGTAAGTGTGGCTTCGTCGGGTTTGTGGGTTTGGGGCCTCTCTCGCATTCAGTGGCCTTTCTACCTTGTTCAGTGAAGGTGATATTGAGGGGCAAACATTTTCCATTAGTTCCACATTTGGAGAGCTGACAATACTCTGTAAAATACTCCTCATCCCATATCTCTCTCTTCCAGCCGCGGGTCACCCTGATCTTATCCCAGCTGGAATGGGGTTTCCAGTAGGCATCCCCAGTCGTTTCACATCCCCAAGCCGCACAGAACATTTCATTATATCCCCCACATTTGTAAGCCGTAGCTCGATCTCGGCCATCCCGGGGGCAGACATAAAAGCTGGCCTCTGCTAATCGACATCTTCGCCCGGGGTTGGAGCAGCCTACAGATCCTCCCCCCGTTGGCTGCATGTTTCTCGTTAATTGATTATAGTCGGTGGTGGCTATGTCCCAAGAGTCTAGTCCCGCAGCTAGCTGACAAAAATCCGGGGTGAGGGGAGGCCACCAGGTATTGAGGGCATGTTGGCCAGTCGTCTTCCAGACTACCTCCCCAGTCTGGGAAATAATCTGCCAAGTTAAGGAATAAACTGCGTGGGGGCTTCCATTAGGAGCCCCCATGGATCCCAAGATCAACATGGGAAAGACTACTGCCCATAATATCATTTTCGAACCAGTCTTATCTTTAAGGGGTTTTGGGAGCGTTGGATCTTCCATCCTTCCTTTTGGCTGGCTGTCTGTTGTTCTGAGCTGGCGGCTTTCACGTGTGAGGCGTGGATCCAGGCAGCAATTCCGTCCACCTTGAGCGCCGTTGGGGTGGTCAGGAGAACAGTGTATGGTCCCTTCCAGCGCGGTTCCAGGTTCTTAGTTTGATGTCTACGGACCCAAACAGTGTCCCCGATCTGGTACGGATGAGGTGCCACTGGCTGGTTAAGGTTGTCTTTGTAGGCGGCTGCTAGGGGTTTCCAGACCTCTTGTTGTACCAGCTGCAGGGCCTGCAAGTGGGCTTGTAGAGAAGGGGAGTTAGCATAGTCTGCAATGTCCGTGTCAAAGAAATGTATGGCTGGAGGCGGTGCCCCATATAATATTTCAAAAGGGGTAAGGCCATGTGGCCCGGGGGTGTTCCTGGCCCGATATAGGGCCAGGGGCAGGAGCAACACCCAATCCTTTAAGCCAGTAGCGAGCGTTAATTTAGACAAAGTCTCCTTAATAGTTCTATTCATACGTTCTACTTGTCCTGAACTCTGGGGTCTATAAGCACAATGTAATCTCCAATCAATCCCCAGTAACTTGGCCACCAACTGACTTACCTGGGAGACGAAGGCTGGCCCGTTATCAGATCCCAATACCTTTGGCATACCATATCGGGGAAAAATTTCTTCTAATAGCTTTTTGGCAACCATCTTAGCCGTTTCATGTTTGGTGGGATAGGCCTCTACCCATCCTGAAAAGGTGTCTATAAAAACCAGCAGGTACTTGTACCCATATAAGCCAGGTTTAACTTCAGTAAAGTCTATTTCCCAGTGGACACCGGGTCGATGTCCTCTGAGGCGTACCCCTTGGAGGGCTTTCGAGTGACCTGCATTGATTTGGGCACAGGCCCTGCAATTGTCTGTTGCCCGTTGGAGTGCCCTGTCCCTGTTCAAGAGGTATTGTCCAGTTTCCATTCTGTCTAGGAGGGTTTTCATTTTCTTCGTACCCAAATGGGTCAACTTATGTAAGTAGTCTATAAGTTCCTGGGTTATTTTTATGGGCACTGCTATTTTTCCCCGATAAATCCAACGTCTATTCGCTGGGTTATATTCTGCCCCCAATTTTTGGAGTAGGTTTATGTCCTCTTTATCATAGGCCCAGTCTATTGTGGATTGGACGGGCTCGGATATTAGGGGGAGAATTTGTGGTCCCAAAGCAGCCTCTCGGGCCGCTTCATCCGCCCGCCGATTTCCTCTGGCCTCGGCGTGATCTCCTTTTTGGTGTCCGGGACAATGCATAATGCTCAGTCTCTTGGGGAGGAATAAGGCCTCTAATAGAGCAAGGATCTCTGCTTTATTTTTAATTTCCTTGCCTTTTGAGGTTAAGAGCCCTCGTCTCCGGTATATTTCTCCATGTATGTGTGCGGTGGCGAAAGCATACCGGCTATCAGTATAAACATTCAGCTTCTTACCTTCTCCCAACCTAAGGGCTTGAGTCAGAGCGATGAGTTCAGCTCGTTGGGCCGAGGTGCCGCTGGGTAAGGCACTGGCCCAGATTACCTGGGTCTCCGTGGTAACTGCAGCTCCCGCCCTGCATTCTCCATTCAGTAGATAACTGCTCCCATCGGTGTACCAGGTGTGGTCCGCATCTGGGAGGGGCTGATCAGTCAAGTCCATCCGGGTTCCATGCATTTCCGCGAGGATCTGAAGGCAGTCATGCTGGTCTGGTCCTTCCGGTGTGGGTAGCAAGGTCGCCGGATTAAGGGCGACTACAGGTCCGAACTGGACTCGGTCCGTATCCAACAGCAAGGATTGGTAGTGGGTCATGCGGGCGTTGGAGAGCCACCGGTCAGGGGGCTGCCTAATCAAGGCCTCGACGGCATGGGGTGCCAAAATGGTCAAGGGCTGTCCCAAAGTCAGTTTGCCAGCATCCTTAATAAGGACGGCAATGGCTGCCACCATCCGTAGACAAGGGGGCCAGCCTGAGGCTACTGGGTCTAATTTCTTTGATAAGTACGCGACAGGGCATTTCCATGGCCCAAGCCTTTGGGTCAAAACCCCCTTGGCATAACCTTGTTTTTCATCAACGAACAGTTCGAATGGTTTAGTGACGTCAGGCAGGCTCAGTGCTGGAGAGGACAGGAGGGCGCGTTTGATGTCCTCAAAAGCCTTTTGTTGTTTATCTGTCCATCCGAATGGTACCCCCTGCTTTGTGAGGGGGTAGAGAGGAGCTGCCATTTCTGCGAAGCCTGGTATCCATAAGCGGCAGAACCCGGCAGTCCCCAGGAATTCCCTCAGCTGGCGATGGTCTCGAGGTGCAGGTATACGGGATACAGTTTCCTTGCGTGAGGCTGTAAGCCAACGCTGCCCTTCTTTTAATTTATATCCCAAATAGGTCACCTCAGTCTGGCATATCTGGGCCTTTTTGGCAGATGCTCGATAGCCCAGCCGTCCCAGAGTTTGCAATAGGGCCCCCGTACCTTGTCGACAGTCACGTTCTGTGGAGGCTGCCAGTAGAAGGTCGTCCACGTACTGGAGTAGGATCAATGATGGGTGTTGAACTCTGAAGTCCGCAAGGTCCCGGTGCAAGGCCTCGTCAAAGAGCGTGGGACTATTCTTAAAACCTTGTGGGAGTCGGGTCCAAGTCAGTTGGCCTGAAATTCCCAATTCGGGGTCCTTCCATTCGAAGGCGAAAAGGGGTTGGCTTTTGGGGCTTAATCTGAGACAGAAGAAGGCATCCTTCAAGTCTAGCACTGTATACCAGGTGTGAGATGGTGGCAGGGTGCTTAGTAAATTGTATGGATTGGGGACGGTCGGGTGTATGTCTTCAACCCTCTTATTAACTTCCCTGAGGTCCTGTACTGGTCGATAATCCTCTGTCCCTGGTTTCTTTACTGGGAGGAGGGGGGTATTCCAAGGTGACCGACAGGGAATCAGAATACCTTGTTCTAATAGTCTCTTTATATGAGGTCTTATCCCCTGGTAGGCCTCATTCGACATGGGGTATTGTTTGACTGAGACTGGGGTGGCTGTGGCCTTCAGGTCTACGATCAAAGGGGGCTGCTGTAGGGCTAGCCCCATACCCCCAGTCTCGGCCCATGCCAGTGGGTACTCTGTAAGCCATATGTCCAAGTCTCTGGATCCTTGTGTCTTAGAGTCCTGCTCATATAGTCGGTATTCGTCTTCCAATTGTAAGGTCAAGACTTGGAGGGGGTTTCCATTTGGACCCGACACTCGAGCCCCTGCCCCCTCAAAGTGAATTTGGGCTTTCAGTTTGGTGAGTAAGTCTCGCCCTAGTAAGGGATAGGGGCAGTCTGGTACGTGTAGGAAGGAGTGAGTTACTTTACCAGTTGCTAGTTGTACCTTCCGTTCGGTGGTCCATCGATATCTTCTTCCGCCTGTGGCCCCTTGTACCCAAGCAGTTCGTTCACTGAGCGGGCCTGGTGACCGGGTAAGAACTGAATGCTGAGCACCTGTATCCACTAGGAAGGTAACTGGCTGCCCCCCGACATCGAGTGTTATCCTGGGCTCAGGGGGGGGCTCCTGGCCCCGACTTCCCTAGTCTTCATCTAGGGCTAGGAGTGAGGCTTGTGGTTTGGGGCCTCTGGGTCTGCGGGTCTTCTTAGGGCAATCCTTTACCCAATGCCCTTTTTCCTTGCAGTAGGCGCATTGGTCGCGTTCCACGCGAGGGCCTCTCCGTTCTCCCATCCTGTCTCCCTTTCGGCTGTCCTGTCCCTGAACTACGGCGGCCAAGAGACGACTCAGTTCTCTATTTCTCTTTCTGTCTCTAGCATCCTCCTTCTCCTCTGCCTCCCTTCTTAGTCTGTCCTCCCTTTCTTCTTTTTCTCTACGGATACGGTCCTCCCTTTCCTCTTGAGTCTCCCTCTTATTAAAGATTTTCTCGGCTTCCTTAAGCAGATCTTGCAGTGTATATCCCTGCAAATTTTCCAACCTCTGTAACTTGTTCCTAATGTCGGGTGCAGACTGGCAAATAAAAGACATCGACATACCAGTAGCCTGCCCTGGGTCCTCAGGATCATAAGGCGTATACATACGATATGCTTCCTTAAGTCTTTCCAAAAATGCTGCTGGAGACTCATCTGCCCCTTGGATTGTCTGCTTTACCTGTGCCAAATTGGTGGGGCGGCGACCAGCCCCTCGGAGACCCGCTATGAGCAACTGGCGGTAAAGGCGTAGGTGCGTCCTACCTGCAACCGTAGTGTGATCCCAGTCAGGCCTGGTGAGAGGGAAGGCGGCATCGATTTCATTGGGCAGCTGGGTTGGCCTTCCATCATCTCCTAGGACCTGCTTCCGTGCCTCTACGAGGACTCTTTGTTTCTCCTCAGAAGTGAGGAGAGCCTGTAAAAGCTGTTGACAGTCGTCCCAGGTTGGCTGGTGGGTGGTCAGAATAGATTCTATTAGGTTAGTTAATACTATGGGGTCTTTAGAAAAAGGGGGATTGTGTTGTTTCCAATTATATAAATCAGAGGCAGAAAAGGGCCAGTATTGAAGTTGGCCGTCATTTCCCTGTCGCAAGGGAAATGCTCGGGAAGTTGAGTCTGGGGGAGATGGTTCACGCTTTCCCCGGAGCCTGCTTGCGACGGGAGAGGCAACAGGCAGGGAGTTCTGTGACGAGGGCGCCATAGGGTCGGCTTCACGATCTCCGGGCTCCTCCTGGGGATTATAGGGAGGAGGATCTTCGTCGGATAGGAGGTCTACGAGAGGGGCATTTGGGTCAGGGGGGAGGACAGACGGCTTGAGGGCCCCCTTCTTCGTCAGTGTAGGATAAAGAGAGGAGGCCGTAGGAGTAAGGGGTTTAGGTAGGGAAGGCAAAGGAGGGGAGGGCAAAGGAGGATTCGGGGCCGAGGGAATGAGGCTTAGGGAAGGTTGGGGTTTGTCTGGAGAAATAAAAGGAGCCACCCAGGGGGGTGGATCATAAGCCAAACTTTCCCAGGTGTCGATATAAGCGACCTGGTCAGGACGTCCATGGGGTCCTTTATCGAAGACCCGTTCTTTAACCTGCAAGATAATGTTTTTGTCAAAGGTGCCATCCCGCGGCCAGCCCAGGTTGAATGCGGGCCATTCCGAGGAACAGACAGTCCGCCATTTTTTCTTCTTGACCTCAAACGACCGATTGCTCGCTCGGTTAGAGACGTCCGACCAGTGGTCTAGAGTAAGGCTTAAGGGAGTGGTTAGCGACTGTCCCATGTTAGTATTCCAATAAATGAACAGACAGACCACAAAAATGAACAATAAGACAAACAGACTGACAATCAGACGCGCTGCGCGGCTTCGGCGAAACCCCGAAAGCAAAAATTCAGACGGAGGCTTCAGAAAAGGTCCGGACGATTGACCTCCCAGAAGAACCACGTGACCCTCGGACCAGGGGGGCGACCCAAAAAGTCCGGCTCTGGTCGCGGGTTCTGACAGATGAGCCCCGAAAAATCGGGCTCCAGACAGACCAGACACCCTCGGAACGTCTTCCAGGGTTGCGGGGGGGAAAGTTCGGACCCGTCGGTCCCTTCCGAGACCCGCCAGATACAGATACAGATCGACCCAGCTGAATCAAACAGAGTTCAAATTCGCAGCGCAACATTCAAACACAAAAGACGTGAGACATTCATAGGACATACAGAATGCTGGCCAGCTTACCTCCCGAAGGTGGTCGATGGTTCCTGGGTGGGGGCCTCAGACTTCCCGGCCAACGCACCAAAATGAAAGACCCCCGAAGGATGTCTTCCTAGCGAGAGAGGCCCCAAACCCACAAACCCGACGAAGCCACACTTACGGATGCAAACTGCAAGAGGTTTATTTGAATACACAGGTACCTGGGGCGGCAAGGTCTCTCGGAAGATTTGCGCGCCCCCAGGTTGGGGGTGAGGGGTTCTTATAGGAGAGCAAAAGCGCGGGTACAGAAGCAAAAAAGCGTGGTTATGGGGACTCATTTCATTGGTCAGTTTAAATAAGGCTAAGCTGAGTGGCACATTCTTGACCTTTCATCTAAATACCAAGGAGGGGGTTGTCCAGACCCACCTGGATACCAAGGAGGGGGTTGTGCTACCTGTTTTTCTTATCTCTTCCTGCCTTCCTAGCTGGAGACCTGATGGTGGACTGTAAACATCCTGACTCACATCCCGTCACAGGACAAAAGGCTCCCTTCCCCTCCCTTACAGCAAGGGGCCTGAATTGTTTATCTCTAAGGCCCTGCATTCCAGCATCAAAGGGTGGTATATTTCTCTTTTTCCTTTTCAAGTGGAGTGACCTTCCAGACACAAATTAAAAAATTAATTAAATAACAAAAAGTGGTCATCCGCATTGTTAGTTCATGTTAAAGCTCACCCTGGTGCCCAATAGTGGAGTCACTACTTTCGGTAAAATGGAAAGGGATGGATTTTCTCTTGAGGCACCTTTCCTTTCTTGTATTTTTCCTCCCTCATACTCTTCATGGTTTCTTTAACCAAGTAACCACTGCCCCAAAATAGCCTTTTGTTTTCCTGAGAACAGCCTCCCCAGCTTCTCTGCATGGTGAGCCTGGCCTGGTCATTTCTTCACCCATCTGTGGCTTTGCTCCTTGGTGATGGGTTGATGAATGCGAATGGGGTGAATCCCAGCTGGGATCACCCCACAGCCCATGTTTACTGTGAATGGGGGTGAATCCCAGCTGGGATCACCCCACAGCCCATGTTTACTGCTAACGGGGGTAAATTCCAGTTGGATCACCCCACAGCCCATGTTTATTTTTTAATTATTTCTTTATTTTTATACTAGAGATGGTAACTAAGGCTCACACATACTAGGCAAGAGCTTTACAAGTGAGCTGTATTCCCAGCCCCCACAGGTTTATTTTTAAAGTCTTTAGAGGCAGGGCCTTGATGCTTAGGAATGAGCTTTGATCCCACTTGTAGGTAGTTCAGAATCATGGCAGAGAGGAGATGATTCTCCTGCCTTTGGGAAAGATCTTTGCCTCCATGCAGTCTCCGCTGCTGACCTCAGCTGAGTCCTGCAGGGACCACTTGTGCTCTCTTATTTATTGAAGGACAAATCTCAAAGTACATTTTACTTGTTAGGAAAAAATGCTGTAACGGGGCAGGCACATATTGTTTATTAACTTCTTTCAAAGGCAATTTAAGGAAGCTCAAGTCTGATTAAATGATACAGAAATTGCATTTCTGGAGAAAAGATCTCAGTTCATTAATTTTTAAAATCTTTGCTCCATCCTCTGTCTTTTAAGCTGTGATGTTCTTTACTATTTTATTATTTATTTCTTTTTCCCCAACAAGATGTTTTGAAGCCTCTGAATGTTCCTCTTGGGTACATTTTACTCTTATTTAGTCCCTCAACAGTATTTTTCAAATGTTCAGCATTTAGAAGTGCTAAATGTCTTTCCTGGGATTGCAACTTTTGTTCCCGGTTATCCGATAAACGCAAATGAAATATTTATCATGTGACTGTGTTTTAAATACACAACCCCCAAAGATGTGTAGATGCAAACAAAGCTTCCTCAGAAATACTCTTTTATCATTAAATCGTGACTGAGCAACTGTGAAGCACTTCTTTTGCATCTTTTCTCTTTAGCCATTTGTCATCAAATCCCAGGGAGCTGTGCCAAGATTTCCTCATTTTAAGGTAGAAGGGAATTTTAAGTGACTTGAATCAAAGAGTGTTTAGGGTTTCATTGAGAACCAAGGAGACTGCTGTTCGAACAACAGTCTCTGTGTGAGGCTTTGTTCTGAGTTACAGGCAGAAGAGGCCCTTAATTATCCTAGAGATGGGTTCACATTGGCTCAAGCCAGGGGCAGGATGAGACGAAGCAGAACACGAGTGTTATTTGTTAGAGGTCATTATGTCAGTGAAAAATAACTTTAGGAGTCGATCTGAACAGTCTCCGTCTCTCTCTCCCTTTCTCCCCCTCCCTCCTCTCAGACCCTGTAGGCCTAAGACTCAGGAAAGACTCCATGTATGGGCACCACATTAAGTATACTGTCTCAGGTCACCTTTTTTAATACATGGGGAAACCAGGTCATAAAGAGGCTAACATCTTCCAGCAGTCACATAGCTGTGGCAGTTAGGAGCTGTAGCTGACCTAGGTTTAGAGGCTATGCTTAGCATAAATTCTTAGATTATGATCTGCTGATTAGTATGAAGTTGAGAGGTTTCTTTTTCTTTCCTCAACAGTTGAAGGATGCTTTCTTTTTTATTTGTTTATGTTTGTATGTGGAGGCAAGGACTCCCTCTCTACCTGTGACTTGTTTCTGGGGGGATTACTTTCGGCTTGGTGCAGGATTCAGGCTACTTGATGCGTGCCGTCCCTCAGTTAGAACCCGGGGAAAGAAGTCCTTTTGCTGTTGGCAGCTCCTATTTGACAGGCCCTCTGAGTGGCTTCCCGTGAAAGATAGCCTCACGCCCCAGCTGCCATTTTCCTGGAGGTGCAGAGAGGTGGAGCGAGGAGTTCTTCTTGCATGGGTTGTCCTGTGCATAGTTGTGACTTCTCCTGCATCTGCTTTGTCCCCATAATGCTACTTCCTGCTTTGGGCAAGAGCCAGAGAAAGCCAGCTCACACCTGCAGCTCTTGATGTGGTGAGGACCTTAATGAGGTAGCATGGGCAGGCTGAGCTCAGCCAGCCTAGCCCCCAGATCCGCTAGACTGCAGGCCACTGCGATCTCTCCCTTGCCAGGGGTATCTTGTCACCAGAGCTCCCTGGAGAGAGAAGGGGCGGGAGAGACAGCAACTGATGACCTGATTCTGGTCTCGTCATTTCTCTGGAAAAGGACATTAGCGATGAATACGTTTGGAAGATGGATTAGTTAGGGTTCTCTCGAGGAACAGAAGTGATAGGATGAATATGTATTTAAGGAGATTTGTTAGTTTATACTGTATGGTCTGGGTAGTTCAGTAATGACTTTCTTCTTACACGGGAGAAGCAGAGAACCTGGTGCTTGCCCAGCCCACGAGGCTGGATGCCCAAGCAATCCTACCCTAGGGCTAAAGGCCCGAAGGACCTATGGAGTGCTGCCGGTCTTCAGTGCATGTTGGAAACCCACCGTTCAGCCCTGATGCAGTGAAGGACCACAGCAGCAGAGAACGAAGTCAAGAGAATCACGAGCGAGCGAGAGCACAGCTTCCTTTTCCATGTTTTTTTTTTCCTTTTTCTGAGCTGCCACCAGAAGGTGCCACCCACCTTTATGTGGGGCCCTTCCTTCGCATGGCAGTGTCCAGTGGCTTGCCTTTTAGTTGGCTTCTGATCCGGTTGACAACCCAAATTAACCACCACGAGGTGGCCATGCTTCCTTCAGGAGGGTGGTATTTGCTGTGTGAGTGCTGGCACTCTCTCCTGGGCGACTGTTGTCTTCCAGGACTAACTTTGATCTTTGAGACTACAGAACTATCAAGCTAGGGATTGAGATATTTCTCTACCCATAGTGTCTGGGTTACTGCCGGGTATGTACGATAACTTATTCTACTGTTTGCTGAATGAATGAATGAGTTCTGGGAGACAGAATAAAACTGGAGTCCGAGGGAAATGAAAGCCAGCAGGGTCCACTGCTGCTGACTCTGGCTCAGTCCCTTAGCGGAGGTTGAACGCACTGATCACACTTCACAGTTATCCGGGTCAGGTGGGGTCACTGAGGCTTCACATGTGACACACCTAGCATTGATAAAGGTCTTCCCCCAGGGGCAAAGATTCTTATGTTCACCAGCTCTCAGTATCTGGCAGCCTAAGTGTAGCCTGCTGAGAAAGGTGCAGGTGCTGGCGCGGACAGTGGAAGGACGCTGGGTTTGGTGTGTGCGCGTGCCCACGTGTGCGCTCAACACCCCCCACCCCCCAAGTCGTCTTTAACCAAGGCAATCTCTCACAGGCACCCCCGGAGGCCATCTTCCAGGTGATTCTTCATTCTGTCAAGCTGGCAGTTACACTAACCCCCACATTCCCCAACCGTGTCTGCCTGTGGTAGGCAATGTGCTCAAAGTGTGCCTAAGCCCAGGGGTGCCGGTCGCATCGCAGGGTGGCAGACGTCTCGAGACTCGCAAATGCTCTAATAACAACTGCATCGTCACCCTCGAGTTGCAGCCGTCACAAGCTTTGTGCTTGAATATTTAGAAAACAGACTTCTCATCCGGTAGGTTTCACTTATTGTGAGACTTTTTGAGCTTTTTGCACAGGCTAACCTGTTTGATTCTTAGAATCCTCTTGAGGTTAGCACCGTCATCTTATAGATCCCCCTCCCATTTTACAGATGAGAAGGTAGAAGCGCAGAGAAGTAGCTGCTGTGACCACCCTGTAGGTGGTGGAGCTCAGTTTCAGCTGAGCCCTCTGCTCTGAGTGACTCCTGGCCGCTATTCAATACTATTGCCGGGGGAGGGTAGAGACTTGAGCCCTCTCTTAGATTCAAGGACTGTATTTACTTTGCTGATAGGCAAGCTGTCTTGAATTTTACTAGCTCTCTTTAAATGGCTTAATTTCAGAAGATATTCCTCTACCGTAGGATTCCCAAAGTGTCTGAGAGAGGAAATCTTTTAAAGCCGGGGTGCCACCACTGCAGCGAACATCTCTTTGGACTGGGCTTGGAGGAAGGTTCATGGGTCAGATGCTGGCTATGACTGATGTGGGCAGACTCCGAGGCTCCCAAGGGAGACTGTCAGAGGAGATGAGGAAGTGCATGCCGGAGGAAGGAGTCCTAGACTCTGTTGCTCTCACCAAAGCTCAAACACAGCTTCCAGTTCTGTCCCCCAGGGACATACAACACAGAGGCAGATGTTCTCTGGAACACCTGGGGGAAAGCCCCCTGAGTGTGTTAACATGAGTGATTTCCACACGGACTGGATTGCCTCGCAGCTGGCCCACGCCGCTGAGAACCTAACACAGGAAATCCAGAAGGTTCCACCGTGCTCTTTGAAGGAGGCAGAAAGGAAGCCTCCCCTGCCGCCTTGGTTTAATTAAGGGTGGCTGAGGAGGACTTTCTTCAAGAAAATGCCAAGAGTGTCTCAGGGATTTTTGAAGTCTGCAGCTCATTTGCAGCATTAGGAAGAGGGATTTCATTCCATTGAGCAAACAGGCAGGCAGCTGGGGAGCAGGGGTGACTTTTAATTTCACTTTTTAAGGAGATTATGGGAAGCAATATGGTAATGATCCCTGAGAGGCAGCGGTGGACTCCTTCCGAATGTCAGGGACTTCCGATTATATTTAAACCTTATTTTCTGTCTCTAGTCCTCCACTGGGGGCTGGTGTGGTCT